ATGCTGATATCCTTCAATTCCTGCTGAGTGTGGAAGAGGGCGACAGCATTAAGAAGAGAATGCATATGAATTTTGCCCTCTGTATGGCCATCCTTAAAGACCAAATCGAAGTAGCAATTCTCTTGGTTGATTACGGTGCACCATTAGGCCGTTGGGATGAATCTGAATTATCTCCTTTGGAATATGCCATTATTGGAAATCAGGAAGAAATGATTTCACTTCTTCTATCTCACAATGCCTCGGTTAGCGATACAAACCCCCATGGCTTCACTCCACTTATGATATCAATCATTTATAACAACCCTTCTGCAGCATCACTGCTACTTTGGTATGGTATGGCACAATTATTGCACTAAGACACCTCGTTGTGTTAAGGAGCTGACCCGGATGCGCTGGTTACTGGCTATAGAACAACAGGAGAACAGCTCGCAATGGATATGGGGAGGGAGGAAATTTCCCAAATAATTTTTTCGTGGAAATACGAGATCGAGCCTTCAATGTTTGAATAGTGATAGAATTTGTTCCGCTTATCTTAATAAAATGAGAGACTGTTTCTGAACACTCCATCTGTATTTACATATGCAGTTTCAGTTATCATCATCAATTTGGTTGACGTTGAGCTTCACATGGATGAGGAACATTAAAGCCACAAAAGGTTGAGAGGATTGTGTTGGGGTGGGGGGTGGGGGGACAGAAGAATGATTCACAGACGTAAAAGAGACAGTGTGACACAAAAGTAAAGAAGAGGAAAAGGTAAGATGAGTACTGGGGATCTGTTTGAAAGTGAAATGCTAGTTTGAAGCCACCTGCCGATTTCGACTTATGGGTATACGTTGCTCAGTGTTTACCACGTAGAACCAAGTCCATCGCGTAGAGCAACACTCCAACCATGAAGTCTTAAATCCTAATTATGCTGATTTGGGAACTGTTGACTAACATGAAGTTCAAATTAATGTGAGAATTTGTCATTGGCAGAGATTTCAACACCACAATTTGATTCTCAGTTTCACAAATAGGGCACAATCAAATCTAATTAACACGAATAAAACCATGACCGTACATCTGATTTTCTCTGGTTTTACCACTTAACTTCTCACTTCGTTGCAGATTTTGCTCACTTGATCTCACGCACAAATGGCTTTGAGTCAAATACAATAAATGAAATAAGAAGTGGAACTGAAATTATGGAAATACTTCACCAATGCGGCGTTTGCGATTAGTCAAGATTCTGCAAGGTGACTCAACGCGAATGAAGACTTGCTCCGTGGTGTGACCTCCAAAGAGGATGCAGAAGGGCGTTTCAATGAAAAGATTGTTCAGGTTGACCTTTCAACTCATCAATGAATGAATAGTTGAGGATGTAGGAAATTGATCCAAGTAGGAAAAGCATTCATATAGCACACTGGCTAAAATTCAAATTCATGAAGTGCACCCAGTCAAGAGTGAAGAAGTCTAAATACCTCATCTGAAGTCACCATAAATTAATGCGAGATATGAGGAAAGGTGTTTCTACTATCATCTACTACCATCTGTTGAATCTGGAGATTAGTGCTGGTAAATGCTCCTTCCACTTAATATCAAGTCCTTCTCATTTAGAGATAAAATAAACCTCAGTCATCTTCCAGTCCTACATTTGTGTCTGTGGTTCTCTACACTTATTAGACCAAACTGCACTGGCCAATACATTCACGTGCACCGATTCCACCCTCCCACCATGGACTCAACACCCTTCAGCCACAAGTAGAATAAGGATGGAGTGATGTGAACTTTCAGTACTTATTAGACATACGTATGCCAAATTAGTCTCACCTCAGAAATTGAGTAGTAATGGTAGAAAGTATGCAAGTGATGAGAGCGATTGACAATATTCGTTTGAATTTGAGTGAGTTTATAACTGAGGCAAAGTCGCACTTGATGAGTAAAACTGAAAATTCAGTTTAAAAGTTGCGTTCTTCTGGACAACATGCCGAGTCGGGCTAAGCGATTTGTAGGTAGATGGAAAATTGAGCAACAATGAGACTAATGGACAAAAAATAATTTAAAATTGCAACAAATTGTTGACTGCAATCAAAATGAAGTGTTGCACACTGGGAAAGAGCAAACGAATCGGTTCAGTAAAGAAATCAATAATTGTGAATGTGTGTTGTGTGTGAGGAGGTGGAGGAGGAGGTGGCATAGTATTTATACAGACTGCTATCTTGCATTTGTTGTGGCGTTGAGTTGCTGTGGGTAATACAGCCATCTGTGTCAATGTTCCACCAACGGATGGAGGCGGACTATGATGTCTGTTTGACTGACAGCTCTTTTTTGATTATTTGGTTGTGACTTGCCTTCGGCGGGATGTCCTGCCGGCCTATTACTCTAGTGATGTGCTCGCTTACTTGCTGGTCCATATCCGAAGAAGGTGGAATAGTGCGATTGTGCTTTTTTAGTGCACCAGTGTGGTGCGCTGTGGAGTTCATGTGTGAGGCATAGGACGTTTGGATGGAGGCAACGCTGGTGTTGTCTTTCTTACGTACCCCACTGCTTAATGTGCTACCTGTGAGGAGAGAAATATATAAAACTCCAGTAGGAATTCGAGTCATCCTCTGGTGATAAAATACCAAGTCAATGATTTATTAAGATAAGGGAAACAAATTCTATCACCATCCAAACAGTGACGGCACGAACTCATATTTCCACGAAAAAATTATTTGGGAAATTTCCTCCCTCCTCATATTCAATGCGACCTGTTCTCCTGTAGCTCTTACGCCATATCTCAGCGCATCCGGGTCTGCTCCTAAACACAACGAAGTGTCTTAGTGCAATTATTGTGCCATACCATACCAAAGCAGCTGTGCTGCTGCAGAAGGGTTGTCATGAATGATTGATATCATAAGTGGCGTAAAGCCATATCGGTTAAAACCATTAACCGGGGCATTGTGAGATAGAAGAAGTGAAACCATGGCATCCTGTTCTTCAAGAATGGCTAATTCCAAAGGGGTTAAATCAACTTCATCCAAACGATCTAATGGTGCACCATAATCAATCAAGAGCTTTGCTGCCAAGAGGTAGCCTTTCTCGACCGTCATGCAGAGAGCGAAAAACATGTCCATTTTCTTCGTCTCTCTATCTGTCTCTTCAACATTCAGCAAGACTTGAAGGATATCCGCGCGGCCCTAAAATCATAACATCAAGAGGTGGACTTACAATGAAGGCAGCATAAAGAAGAGGTGAAAGTTCATTTTCATGCAGAAACTTATAAACCTTTGCTCCCTGTGCAACTAAATAGCGAACCATGTAGATGTTATTTTTCTCCACAGCCAACGTAAGAGGAGTTAGACCATCGTTGTCATATTTTTCTAAATTGCAATTATGTGAAATAAGAATAGAGACGGAAGCCTCATCATCATTGTCCACTGCAACATGCAACGCAGTCCGTCCAAATACATCAACCCCATTCACGTCAGCTCCATTCATCAATAGTTCATTTGCAATGACAAGGAACTTTAGCATCACAGCTAAAATGAGTGGTGTAATTGTCGGGTTATTTGGGAAGACATTTGGGTTGACCTAGAAGAATATCAATGTAGTTTGACTTACATTGTTTGCCAGTTGAATTCTCACAGAATCAATGTCATTTTGAGTGATAGTTTCATAAAGTGTTTGCTGTGGCTCGGCCATGGTGTGAGAAGCCAAAAGAATACCTGCCACTCAAATATGATCAAATTCATATTGATATTTTGAGAAAATACTTTAATCATTAATCAGCAGAGTGACGTCAACGATTGGTCAAATCTATTAATTCGGTTATAAGTAACCAATAGATGTTTGAGTGCTTGATGTAATATTGGCCAATTCCTTGTCCTAATGAGGCGTGAAATCGAACGAATGAATGTCTGACAAGTGTGGATAATTTGACTGAATACATCTCGAGCAGAATTTAATAAAGTTCCTCAAATAGAGCTTGCATCAGAAAAATCGAATTTAATAAAGCTTCTCAAGTAGAGCGTGAATCAGCAAAATCGTATTTTTGTTGACAAACCTCCTATCAACCCTGAATTAAAACGAAAAATGTGAAAGCCGACTCAATTTTTCAGAATATGATATTCACGATGTATTATCAATACGTCTTCCAACACCTCCCTCATATCTATTAAGTATATAATTTCCCTAGCTCTTTTGAAATTCACAGGAGAAGAGGAAGGCTTTCTACGGACTATAGATACTTGATAGTGATTCTTTCACTACTGCTCCCAAGTGAGTTAACACAAAGAGAACTCAAACGAATGTCGAATCGAGTTTTCGCCATATGAATGCATCGATCTGCCTCTTATTTCGGCATTCCGCCATAGTGGGAGGTAAAACGTTCTGCTGATGCACTTTATTGAATTCTCCAACATTCTCGAGCATTCCTCTTACATCAGCAATCTCATCATCGTCATCATCATCATCATCGTCACCTTCACATACACTTCCAGCACAACATTTCTAGGAACTGACTACGCAACGGGTGCATGACGCACAATGGGCAGCCCAATTCCACACACACTACTGAACCATTACCTACACGTTATCAGTTTATTTGGAAAGATGAGCGATCGTCGCCATTTCAATCAGTTCAAACTCTCGAGTGGTATTTACTCGAGGCCGATACGGATGAACAAGAGATAAATTTCAATCAGTTGTTTGCTTGAGGCTTGTAATGAGCCATGGAGAAGAAGTAGTTGTAGCTGGCGGTAAATTGCGATGCCAATCGGGTGTCAACGCATGGGATGAAGGCAGACGGTAGAAATTGTGGTCTTTAAAGTAACAAGAGGGTTCGTTTGAATTGATTGTAATAGCGGCGAGCTTCCATCTTTCGAAATAAACAATAACAATAACATCTCATCTTGTGTTGGATAGAAACAGTAAATTAGCAGTGAAAATTGGAGATGGTCTCTACTTGCAACTTGTTGCAACCTCCACACGGATGGAGCTGATATCATAAGAAGAGTAAAGCCATGTCGGTTAAAACCGTTAACCGAGGCATTTTGAAATAGAAGAAGTGAAACCATGGCAACCTGTTCTTCAATAATGGCCATTTCCAAATGTGTAAAACGAGCTCTATCCAATCGTTGTGGCCATTATAGTTGGCCAAGAAGAGTGCAACATTCATGTTCGATTTCTTCTTTTCTCTGTCTGTCTCTTGAAGGATATCAAAGCGGCCCTAAAATCATAACATTAAGTGGTAGACTTACGACGATGGCAGCAAAAGGAAGCGGTGGGAGTTCGGGTCCCTCCAAATATTTATAAAACACTGCTCCCTGTGCAACTAAATAGCGAACCATGTGGATGTTATTTTTATTCACAGCCAACGTAAGGGGAGTTAGACCGAAGTTGTCATATTTTTCTAAATTGCAATTATGCGAAAGAAGAACAGAGACGGAAGCCTCATCATTATTGTCCACTGCAACATGCAACGCAGTCCGTCCAAATTCATCAACCCCATTAACATCAGCCCCATTAATCAATAGTTCATTTAAGATATCATGGTTTCAATTCTCATGATTTGGCGTTCAAGCACAATGAAATTAATTTTAAATGGCAGGCTTTGTGTTATTTATCATTAGCCCTTAAACTTTGACTTGAGCTTGCTCCAATGGTGGGGGAGGGGGTACATCTATAGCAGTTAATTAATAGCAGTTCATTAGCTGTCTTCTTGCTTCCCAGAACTCCGGCTTTCCGTCGTTGCCTTTAGGGCTGGACATCGAATCAGGTGGGTCTTCTCCATTTCCTCCTGTAGGTTACATAGGGGCATGTGGGTTGAGTGTATACTCCCAATCTGTGAAGGTGTTTTACCAAGCAATCGTGTCCGGTACGTAGTCTAAACTCAGCAAAGGCATCGATTCTTGGCCAGTCGGCTATGTCGGAGAGTGCCACTGTCCACTGTTTCTCTTTTGTTCGAGCTTCAAGTTCGTTGCACCTTGAGGTCTGGAATTCTGTTCTGATTAAGGCCTTCATTGTGTGGAAAGACGTCGGCTGGTCCATGCATTGCAAAATCGTTGTCCCCTTCTTAGCAAGTGTGTAAGCAAACTCATTGCCTTTAATGCCACAGTGACCAGGAATCTATTGTAGGACCACTGTTGGTTTTTCTCTCTTAGCAGCTGATAGAGTTTTCTACATTCCTTTATCTCAGCTGTTTTGGTTGGCTCTCTGTTTTCAATAGAGTTTATTGCTGACTGTGAGTCCGAAAGTATCACCGCTTTGGTGAATTTCGTATCCAGGAAACATAATTGGCATAGTGTTATCCTAATGATCTCTATTTCTCCTTCAAAAGCGGATCTATTTTGTGTCCCGCTGCAGCGTAGAAAGAGAAGAGTTCAGAATAGACACCTGCACCAACGTTTGCTTGGTTTTCTATTTATGACCCATCAGTGAAGACTTGGAGCCATTGATCTGCAGGGTAGTTGACATTGATTGTCTCAAGGGCCAGTGAGCGCAGTTGCTCTGGAGGAGTGTTTGATTTCCTGAAGAAGTCAAGCAGTTGGGTGCAACATACTACATCAGTGTCTGCTAATGGGTTCATGTAGAGAGAGAGGCTTTTTGGTTTGTCATCAATTTGTAATTCTTTCTTCAGTTCCCTGGCTTTCTGTATTAGACCAGATTGCGTTTTCAGATGTCTTGGTCTATTCCCATAGGTGCTGAAGAACTTATCCATGGGAATGCGCAGTAGCTTCTCATGCAGGATCAAGGCCTTCTCTTTGATAAAGGAAGATAATGTGGGACTTTCTGTAACTAGGAGCATTGCATCAATGGGTGTTGATTTTATCCCTCCAGTAATTAGTCGTAATGCTTGGTTGTGTGCCTTCTCGAGTGGTTTGAGAGTCACCTCTGTGGCTGTAATGAGTGGCTCACGGCATACTTAAGTAAAATAAGTGGGGCGCGCGATAGACTTACCTCCACGTGGTGCACCCTGGACAACGTATCTTTGTACGGCAAAAATTCTATCACTCGGCATTTGATTTGACTTCTCTTTATTATGATTAGCTTGAAAAAAGGCTATAAGAGAAATTGCTCTGGTCAGGGCGAATAACAACGTCTTCAGATCCTCCAGTGGAATGCTGGAGGGATGTCACAGGACAAAAAGATCCAAGTACAGANCCCACTCCTCGACTTTCTGTTACTTTGATGCTGATGCTTTTCAACAAAATCTGGGAGACCAGTCTGGTACCTAACCATTTTAAAGTTGCCATAGTAATACCTGTACTAAAAAAGGCAAAGCCCCTAGCAACTCTGACAACTATAGGTCTATCTCCCTTACAAGCGTGCTGGCTAAACTTATGGAAAGTCCTCACAAGTGTGCTGGCTAAACTTATGGAAAGAATGGTTTAAGGAGGCACACCTGGTTCCTTGAGACTAACAATATTCTTAGGTGTGAACACCTGGCTTAACTTATGGAAGGAATGGTTAACAGGAGGCTGACCTGGTTCCTTGAGACCAACAATATCCTAGAGTGAGCAAGCCGGTTTTAGGCCACAAAGATCAACGAACCAACAAGACACTTTCTTCCAACACATCAAAGATGCCCTTAATGCAAAAAATACCCTTACTCTCCCAACACACCAAAGATGCCCTTGATGCAAGAACTACTCTCCTTTTTAGGTCACAATGATCAACGAACCAACAAGTAGCCACTTTCTCCCAACAAGTTGCCCTTGATGCTAGAAATACTCTTACGGCTGTTTTCGTAGACTTCAAATCAGCATATGACTCGATAGAGAAGCTAATTCTAAAATTGGCAAAGATTGGTATTATTTTCGTAGACTTCAAATCAGCATATGACTTAGTATGGAAAGAGAAGCTAATACTAAAATTGGCAAAGATTGGTATTAAGCATAACATGATAAAACAGTGGTCCTACACTGGATTCCTGGTCACTGTAGCATTAAAGGTAATGAGCTTTCGGACACACTTGCTAAGAAGGGGACAACGATTTTGCAATGCATGGACCGCCGACGTCAAAGTTTGAGGGCTAATGATAAATATCACAAAGCCTGTCATTAGAAATAAATAAATAAATAAGTCAAATAAGTACTGAAAGTTCACATCATTCCATCATTATTCTACTTGTGGCTGAAGGGTGTTGAGTCCTTGGTGGGAGGGTGGAATTGTTGGCACGTGAATGTATTGGCCAGTGCAGTTTGGTCTAATAAGTGTAGAGAACCACAGACACAAATGTAGGACTGGAAGATGACTGAGGTTTATTTTATCTCCAAACGAGAAGGACTTGATATTAAGTGGAAGGAGCAATTACCAGCACTAATCTCCAGGTTCGAGAGATGGTAGTAGACCTTCGGGAAAAAACTATTTCTGTTTGATAGTAAAAACAAATTTCCTTACATCTCGCTTTAATTTATGGTGACATTAGATGGGGCATTTAGACTTCTTTACTCTTGACTGAGTGTACTTCTTGAATTGAAATTTTAAGCGGTGTGCCATATAAATGCCTATCCAACTTGAATCAATTTCCTACATCCTCAACTATTCATTCATTGATGAGTTTAAAGGTCAACATGAACAATCTTTTCATTGAAACGCCCTTCTACATCCTCTTTGGAGCTCACACCATGGGCAAGTCGTCATTCGCGTTGAGTCACCTTGCAGAATCTTGACTAATCGCAAACGCCGCATTGGAGAAGTATTTCCATAATTTCAGTTCCACTTCTTATTTCATTTATTGTATTTGACTCAAAGCCATTTGTGCGTGAGATCAAGTGAGCAAAATCTGCAACGAAGTGAGAAGTTAACTGGTAAAACTAGAGAAAATCAGATGTACGGTCATGGTTTATTCGTGTTAATTAGATTTGATTGTGCCCTATTTGTGAAACGAAGAAACATATTGTGAAGCTGAAATCTCTGCAAATGCCAAATTCTAACCATAATTTGAACTCCTGAGCAACGTAAAGCTCATAAGCTAAAAGTCTATAAATCGGCAGTTGGCTTCAAACTACTCTTTCACTATCTAACAGATCCACAGCGCTCATCTTATCCTCCTCTGTACCTCCCCACCCTCTCCCCCCTCACCCCATTCCTCCCAACCTTTTGAGTCTTTGACGTTCCTCAGCCACGTGAAGCTCAACCTCAACCAAATTAATGACAATAACTGTAACTGTATAAGCAAATACAGATCGAGTGCGCAGAAACAGCCTCTCGTTTTATTAAGATAAGGGAAACAAATTCTATCACGGTTCAAAAATTGATGTCATGAACTCGTTTTTCCACGTTAAAATTATTTGGGCAATTTCCACCCTCCTCATATCCATTGCAACCTGTTCTCCTGTTGTTCTAAAGCCAGATGCCAGCGCATCCGGGTCCGCCCCTTAACACAACGAGGTGCCTTAGTGCAATAATTTTGCCATACCATAACAAAGTAGCAGTGCTGCTGCAGAAGGGTTGTTAAAAATGATAGACGTCATAAGTGGAGTGAAGCCATGGTGGTTTGTATCGCTAACCGAGGCATTGTGAGAAAGAAGATATGAGACCATATATTCATTTCTTCCAATAATGGCAAATTCCAAAGGAGATAACCAATTCCCTTGTCTACGACTTATTGGAGCACCGTTATTAATTAAGAATTCTGCTGCCTCGTTGTGGCCATTATTGATGGCCAAGCAGAGTGCAAAGTTCATGTTCATTTTCTTCTTTTCTCTATCTGTCTCTTCCACATTCACCAGGTATTGAAGGATATCAAAGCGGCCCTAAAATCATAACATTAAGTGGTGGACTTACGACGAATGCAGCAAAAGGAAGCGGTGGGAGTTCGGGTCCCTCCAAATATTTATAAACCACTGCTCCCTGTGCAACTAAATAGCGAACCATTTGGATGTTATTTTTATCCACAGCCAACGTAAGGGGAGTTAGACCGAAGTTGTCATATTTTTCTAAATTGCAATTATGCGAAAGAATAACAGAGACGGAAGCCTCATCATTATTGTCCACTGCAACATGCAACGCAGTCCGTCCAAATTCATCAACCCCATTCACGTCAGCTCCATTCATCAATAGTTCATTTGCTATGTCAAGGTACTTTAGCCTCACAGCTAAAATGAGTGGTGTTATTGTCGGATTATTTGGGAAGGCGTTTGGATTGACCTAAAAGAATATCAATGGAGTTTGACTTACATTGTTTGCCAGCTGAATTCTCACAGAATCAATGTCATTTCGAGTGATAGTTTCATAAAGTGTTTGCTGTGGCTCGGCCATGGAGTGAAAAGCAAATAGAATACTTGCCACTCAAATATGATCAAATTCATATCGATATTTGGAAATCGAACGAATGAATGTCTGACAAGTGTTGATAATTTGACTGAATACATCTCGAGCAGAATTTAATGAAGCTACTCAAATAAAAAAAGAGTTTCATTTGACTGTGGTATGTTACTTGAACGATTTCAGTGTTTAGGGAGTTGTGTGTTGTTGTTGACAAACCTCCTTTCAATCCTGAATTTAAAACGTCAACTGTCAAAGCCGTCTCAATTCTTCCTGCCAATGCTACCAATGATTTGATTCAACAAGATGACGACTTCTAAAGAAGTGAATGGGTAAAGGAACCTAATAAGTTGTGAGACATTGCCAAAGTTCCCTTGCCAATAGTGGTCATTGAAATATTGTTACTCACAAAACGAGATTGGCTTTAGTTATGATGTCTCAATATCCTATTTCCTGATTTTTAGAACCGGATTCATGGTTGATATAATTCCCCAGATAGTCCTAATTTATTGACTGGTCTGTATATCATTGGCCACAGAACACACAAGTTCAAATGAAAAGTTGAAGATGCGAATAAGAAGGAATTAATGTTTTCCTTTTATTTTTGGAAGACATCTGTTGAATTAATTCAACATTTTAGGACGTGGGCCTATTTTGGGAGCTATATGGAGTCCGTAATGTCAGGTAATGATTGGTCAGTTCGCTTAATTAATAAGTGAAATATCCGATTCGGGCACATCCCATTAAATCCTTTAACGCCCGAAGTAATTTTTGAAAAACTCACCCAACCCCACTCACGCATGTCTCACAGAAGACAGCAGACTGATGTCACTGACAAGATGGGTTTTAGTGGTTTAGGTGAATATAGATGTAGATGCCTCAGGGCTCTACTCTCTACATATCAAATTCATAAATAACTACCGTGATGTCATCTTGCATCTTTCAATGCAGTTCTCTTCAAGAAGCACCTTCCCACTTCTACACTCCAGACACCAGCCAACTCTCTCTCTCTCTCTATCTCTCCCAACCTCACGCTTCTCGCCCTTCCAATATCTGCTACTACTCCCAAAACCCTCGCCAACACTCCTTACTTTGCACCCCTTATATGTACATAGATATAGGTCGTTTCAACAGTGGGTTTGCGTCAATGCCAATTGTCACTTCGTATTTGGACACTTCCTTATGGTACTGTCTTAATCCGACGACAATTCTAGTGCATTAATGGTGACAGCCTGCTTGAAACAAAGAAAAAGAAAAATTTCTACGCACTTCACTTAATTGTGAATGTGAGTGCTGTCATTGAGGAGGAGGTGGCATAGTATTTATACAGACTGGTATCTTGCATTTGTTGTGGCATTGAGTTGCTGTGGGTAATACAGCCATCTGTGTTAACGTTCCACCAATGGATGGAGGTGGGCTATGATGTCTGTGTGAATGAAAGCTCTTTTTTGATTATCTGGTTGTGCGGTGGATGGTCGATGGTGATGAGTGAAACGACTGTCCGAATAATTGCGATAGCAAAGAAACGAGACTCCGGTCTGAAAATGTGTGCTTTAGCTATGTGTGGAGTCCGCTGTGTTTTTTTGACCTACGACACAGGATGAGACAACCACCAAACTCGATCTTTAATTAATGATATGTAGGTTGGCGAAAGTGAACCTACAGAAGGATCATCACGCGTTACAATCCACTTGACCTTTTTTTGCTGTTTCTGCGACAGGTGAGTGGGCGAGCAATCATCGGACACTTGTGGTGAGCTGAATCGACATGTTCAAGCAAATCTGACCTGCCTTCGGTGG